ATATCTAAATATTTACATCATGTGCGACATAAATATTTTAAACACACGAAAATGGTAAAATTATCTAGTAATGGTGAAAATTGTAAATATATATCTTGAGGAAAAATTAAATTATTTTTCAGTTTGATCAATTTTGGTATTTTTTTAAATTTTTTATCACTCTGTTATATTTATAATAAATTCCAAATTAGAAAATTTTTTAATCAATTTCGTTATTTTTACGTTCAAAAAAAAAAAAAAAAAAAAAATGATAATGATAATTACAATAATTCAAAATATTATTTTCCCATCAGAATCTAAATGTACATACATTAAAACAGATATGTGACGACTAATTGCATATCGTTTCTAATTAATTAACCATTTAGTTTGCTTTTAGAATTTTAATTCTTGTTAATTTATGCTGTCATTTATTTATAATGTTTAAATACAGATGAACTTATGAAATATTTCTCTAGAATATGAAAAAATATTTCTCCTACATTATTTTTTATTAGTAGAAAAAAATAAGTGATTTTAATGAAAAAATTTCAATTTTCCAATTGCATAATTGGTTATCATGTTTTTTTTTGGGAGAAGAAGAACTTCCATTATACGAGGGAAAATGGACACTGTTACTTTTTTTTTTTTTTAAACAAAAGCATTTATTTAAAAAAAAAATTTCATTCATGTTTCATATATATATGTAATATAGTTACATGTTTGTCAATATTGACACACATGATGCTTACATTCTCTTCGGACACACATGGTTCCTCTGTTCCCTTTTACTTGCAGATCGAAACCACGAACCATCAATCACGTTCTGGTAAGCGTGATGTTATCCTGTGAAACAGGATTTAATCAATGTGCAGGTCTTATATCCCTCTACCTAAAGCAAAACGCTAAATTACGTGAAGGTTCGCAAACCATTCATGTAAATCAAGAAGTGAATATTCCGCGATAATTAAAAAGATTATTTTATTGTTTCCAATTTTTGTTCTTTTCATTTTATTATATTTTCAAATTATTTAATTATTTAATATTTTCATATTTTAATATTTGATAATATTTTAATATTATTTAATATATTTATTTCAATATTATTTGTGTTTTAATAAATTTTTCCAAGAAAAAAATTTGAACCAATTTTGATTCAATCAAAAAGGTTTTAAATTCTTTTTGATAAAAGCAGATTTTATTTAAACCTTATTATTATTTTTTTTTTTTAAAGAAGAGAGTAAAGTTGCAATTTCAGGAATTATTAAATTTACCCGATTTTTCCATAAGTTTTCGCAAATCACATGGAAATCATAAAAGCACTTTTTTTTTATTTATGTAATAATAGGATTGAATAGTACATATATATATAACTTCTTGGTAAAATGTATCGGTTATTTGCATGAATGCAATTCATTGCACGACATTTTCTGCAAAAGAAATAATATTTTTTTTTCTTTTCCTAAACAACCACAAACCACGAAGACTTGTATATATATTGTTAATATGCCTATATATATATATACTTAACTTTTCAAACAGTCTCGACTATATAAACTTAAATGTTCACCTACTTGATCGTTATTTTCAGTAAGTTAGGTCAAGGGTGCAATTTCGTCCGAATCAGTTTATATAGGGGTTTTAATTTATTATACAATCGTCACACCCATTTGTGTACACAGTCACGCGTTTCACAATTGTGTGATTCTAATCAGATTTTACCTCGTTTGATATATAGATATATATAAACTATTTTCTATCATGAAATCATCGAGATGTATTTTGCGCTGAAATTTAAATTGAATTATTTTTTGACATAATGTTTGTATCAAGTTTCAAAAAGACACAACCTTTTTTGAAATATGGTCGATTCTCCAAAAAAAAAAAAAAAAAAAAAAAAATGGCTGTTTTATAACATTAAGACATCACAGTTTTCCTAAAAGTACCAAATTGAGACCAAAAATTGCATCAAATCTTTGCAACGTTTTGATGCACATAAGTTATATCAAAAAGAGATCGTTTTGTGTATCATTTTTAGAAATGATACACGAAACGGTCTCATTTTTTGATGCAAAAAATTTAATCAATTTATATCAATCATGGCCGAATTGAATCGACTCAAAATTAAACGAATTTTTTTCAGATATTTTGGTAATAGTACAATTGCGGAGATCATTTCACTATTTAATTTGAAAATGAAAATAACAGAAAATCAAAGACAATGTGCAATTCGATAATTAAAAAGTGACTAGCTTATAAACATAACCTAAAATGCATGAGAAAAAATTTGTCGATAAAATCAATATAGCCGAGCTTTTTAGAAGGTAGATGGCAGCACTCATCTATTTTCTTTCTTTAAATTGTTTCTGAATTGTTTTTATAAAAGGAAAAACTGCCATCTACCTTCTAAAAAGCTCGGCTATATTGATTTTATCGACAAATTTTTCTCATGCATTTTAGGTTATGTTTATATAAGCTGTCAGTTTTTAATTATCGAATTGCACATTGTCTTTGATTTTCTGTTATTTTTATTTTCAAATTAAATAGTGAAATGGTCTCCGCAATTGTACTATTACCAAAATATCTGAAAAAAATTCGTTTAATTTTGAGTTGATTCAATTCGGCCATGATTGATATAAATTGATTAAATTTTTTGCATCAAAAAATGAGACCATTTCGTGTATCATTTCTAAAAATGATACACAAAACGATCTCTTTTTGATATAACTTATGTGCATCAAAACGTTGCAATAGAAAAAGATACAACCAAGTTTACTGTGTATGAATAAATTTACTTTTTTTTTTGATGTAACTATGACAACTTATAAAAAATTTATTAATGTTTCAAAATTAACAAATTAACACTGAAACAAAAATCTCACTCTCTATTTGAATTTATAAAATTTTTAACTACTTTGAATTAGTGACTAATTTTTTCTTTTAAACCCGTGCAAAAATTTTGTCAGGGCTTAGATCGGGGCCGGATCAGGTTGCCTTATTAGGGAATAGGCGCGCCTGATGTGACCCTAATTACTCTCTAAATCTGAATTAGTAAAAATGTGTACTAATTTGAATTAGTGACTCACTTTTTGCTTTATAATTAGTTAACTTTTACTAATGGTTAGTAAAAGTTACTATTAATTAGTAAAATTTCACTAATTCAGAAGGAAAAAGTGAGTCATTAATTCAAATTAGTAAACATTTTTACTAATTCAGATTTAGAGACTAGGAAATCCACATTTTCTGGTTGCCCTGATTAGCGTTTCATTCCCTAATAGAGCCATGGTAGGGCAATTTCTACAAGGGAATTAGTTAAATTTTACTAATTCGATATTAAAGAAAAAGAATTTTCCCACTATTAATTCAAATAATTTTGCTTCTAAATATTTTAGAGTTATTTTTCCAATTATATAAACATTAATTATTTTTAGTACGTACGAATTTAAAGTAAAATTATGAAAATAAAAAATGAGGACATATTTAGTGAAAAATATAAAAGGACAGAAATATAGTAAAGCATTCTGTGAATAGCATATACATATATATACAAGCTTTTGCCCATGATTATATACTGTGTATATAACGTTTAAGAAACATGTTTTGCACGGAAATAAGCTACCAGTCAAATTGTTATTGAAGTTTTCTCTGAATTTTCACAGAAATTTTTTATATTAAGAAAAAAAAATTAATTTTTTCCCGCAACTTTGAAATTTTATTTATTATTATTATTATTATTATGCAAATAACATAATAATTTTTTTTTTTTTGGACCTTAATTTTCAAATAAAGAAGTATCAAATTTTGCTGCCTTTGGTCCAATAAGTATATAGTAATTAAAAAAATTTCAAATAAAAAAAAATCCAAATAAAAAAAAATACATAGAATTAATTTCAGAACAAAATTATAAATAAATTAACATAAATTATAAAATTCACAAAATAATATATGAAATTATTTATAATCTGGCATATTAAATCTATTATAGAAAATTTTGAAATTTATATATCATTTTCAATATGTAGTACTCAATTTTGAAAACAATTTAAGGATGTCAAAAGAGACTGCTTGAGAATTTTTTTGTTTTGTTGTTGTTTTTTTTTTTTTCTAATGGAAAATAATTGGATTGAATTCTCGTTTGAGCAGTGGAATAAAAGCAATAAAGGCTCTTTCTAACAATCATCTCAAAATGAAGTGATTCTTGATTATTATTCCAATCGACACGACTCTCGATATGAAACTAATATAATTATTTTTGTATTGTGTGTGTGTTCCCGTTCAAAGTATAGAAGTGAAGTGAAATTTAATTTTGATCTAATTGCTTTGTCGATCATTTATTTTTCGGTACACTTTTTTTTCGTTTATTCTATTTTCAAAAAAAAAAAAAACACTCGTTCACTCGCCAACCGTTTCAAAAATTTTATTTTCAATTTTCATAAATGTCTAAATTTTTTTTGTTGCAAATAAATATTTGTTCGTTAAAAAAATATTAAAAATTTGATGATTTAAAAATAAATTTTAATTAAAACTTATGTAAAAAAAAAAGTCTTGTAATTATTTTTTTTCCATTTTTTAAAATTCCTTCTTCTTTTGTGTTTGGTTTATTAATTATTTACAGTAAAAAATAATATTTTTATCTAAGAGCATGCAATAAATAAATTTGGTTTCAAGTGAAACTCGGTCACTGTAAAGGAATGTTTATATATAAAAAGTAGATGGAATTTAAATTGTACTTTGTACTCACTTCGTTGCTTTTACAATATTTGTATATAAATATACAGTTTCAAAAAAAAAAAAAAGAAACTTACCTTTTTTATTACATGTACATTTTTTCCACTTTATTACTAAATCTTTGCAATATCAAAAATATTCTGACAAGAATTTTTGATGAAAATTTTAAGAAATGTTTCTTGTTCAACGATGTAGAATATATGTAAAGGAATTAATATTACAATGGAAATTATTGGAAAAAATTTCAAAAAAAAAAAAAATAATTATTTAAATTTCTTTATAATGAAACTTACCATTGTTCGATGTAAGCCTTGTCAACAGTAAAAATTGGTACAAATGTTCGATTGGTATCTGTGCCATTGAGGCTGCTTTCGGTATCGTTCATTTCCATTCCCGCATTTGAGCTTTCCAAATGGTGGAAGCAATATTCGAACTTGTTCCACCTTCGCCTTTAGCATTCAGTCATCTCTGATACATTCTGAAAACGCATTATTTATTAAAATTTATTATTTCATGAATCTTAAATGAAAATTATTTCAATTTACAAAAAAAAAAAAAAAAATTTCATATTAAAAGATTTTTAATATTAGGATAATATTACCTAGGGTAGGTTTAATTTAGTAAAAAGAACAATTAAACAATTTTTTTTATAGAATCGTGGGAAAATAAGAAAAAATTTAATCTATCTAATTGAAATGAATTTTTTTCATTTCTATAAAGGTAAAAGAAAAAGAAGTAGATTAGAAGTAATAATGCGAGAAGATAGTATGAGCTTCCGGGGACATTATAATTAATCAATAAAATCAGGTAAAGTAATGGGGTTGCATGGAGTTGATAAAATAAAAGGATATGTTAAGTCCTTCGATATCATTAAAGGAAAAAAAAAAAAAAAAAAAAAATACGATAAGAATGGGAGACACGAACATTTTCAACTGTAAGTAGTTTGAATCGCTCTTAACCTTGAGAACGACCACGCTGGTAATAATGAAGCTGCACGAAAGGAGAAAGAGAGATATTGGTGAATTTACATAAGAGGTTGACATCGACGTGGTATATAAGTAGAGAACTGACATTAACCTGGAAAACCCTACTAAATTCGCCCCTTAAAATTCAATCCAATTCTCTCTTTATAAAATATTCTATTAGCCATTTTTTTAATGGCATATTTAATTTTCCACAATTTTTAATATTCTCCTGCTGCCTTTAAATCGCTTCATTTTTATAATAAAATTTTGAGTTATGTGAGAAAAATATTTTTATAGCTACAATTCCGTTTTTTCAATTTTAATTTAACATACAAAAAAAAAGAATATGAATTAGATTTTGATGAGAAATTATCCAATTATTCGGAAGTTTATAAATCAAAATTAAAAAATATAAATTAAAAATATTGTGGACATTTTTTTATAAAAATTATTTCAATTTATAAAATTTAACTGGCAAATAAATATTTCATATTATTTTATTTCCAAGTGGTACGTCAATTTTTTTTTTTTTTTTTTTGAATCTGCTATTTTCTGATAGTTCAGTGAGTCGCAACAAAGGTTTTATATATTATTTAATTTTAATCTCTATATAGATTAAAATATTTTTTCGATACGATAATTCATTATAAATATTGAGAAATGAAGTCAAGGGAATTTATCATGTTTTGTCCGTTTAATCTCTCCAATTGTCAATGAACATTATTTCCACGTATTTTTCTTGTCATTTTCGCAACACTGAATATTTATTGATGTATGTTAATCAATAATTTTTTATTTCTATTTGTCGTATTTATGTGACCAACGCACTTTTTTTTCACACAATTTCACATCTTGAACTTGCACCTAAAAGTTTTTAAAAAATGGTTTTTCCCCACAGTTTCCGTTTTGTTATCGTCACATAAATCCTTTTGAAAGGATTGATGGATCAGATTGAATCTGAATACATTTTGTATTTTGATTATTAACCATTTTCATTGTTTTAAAATATTGTGGAGAAATTTTCCTCTTTTTTTTTTTTATTTTGCATACTAAATATTTTTTATGACGATTATTTTTATTGCATAATTATTATAAAATTCAAATTGAATTTCGCAAAATGTGAAAATAAAAATAGTTGAGAGATATAATTTAAAAATTGCCTCTTTTTACACCTCTTTTTAATGTCAGGAATTTTTAGAAAATTAAAATTCTTATACACTTATAAAAATTTTATTTTGAAAAAAATTTTAATTCAAGAAACACATTTATTAAACCATAAGGTAATATATATTTCAGAATTTTCGTAATTAGAACAAACAAAAGATATTTCTTTGAACGCTGATTATATATCTATTAATTACAGATACATTTTTTACTAATGTCATTAAATTCCTATGAATCAAATATATTTGATTTTTAATTATTATCGAATATCCATTACGTCCTTTAGATTTTCATTTATCAAGAGGAACAATTTATTTCGATTAAAAAGTCTATATTTCAAAGAACTGCAAAAGTCATTAACGCTCTTTTTCAAAAGTATACTCTATAAAATGTGTATATTATGCAAAATGAAGTTTAATTGTAGGAAAAATTAAAAATTGATTCAAGAGACTGACTTTTTAATGCAAAAAAATTCAATACATTTAAAATTAGTAAAAAAATAGCGGTCTGTCAGACCGAGAAGAGTAGTAACGTAATGTTTTTTTTAATATTTTTTTTTTTTTATAAAAAACACTAATATATAATTGAAATACAATTTTTCAATAAATTTAGGTAATTTGACATGATGAATTTGAGAAAATTACTATTTAATCGATCGTGTCACGTGTTCGCGTAGTTTGTCGATTTCCGTGATAATAATGTTCTGCGATGGGTTAAATGCGGTACCTAGGAGTTAATTATTAAACCTCCGCAGAGTAAATTCAAAGCGGTAACTGAATTCGAGCATCTGCTAGAAAATCTTGTTGATTTCGATCTCCTTCTCCTATACCTACTTTTTTATCGCCAAGAAAAAAAAAAAAAAGTATATAAACTTTCCCCTTCATACAGTCGATTACCTTAATTAAAAATAATTTAATGTTCAATAGTGCAGACAATTTTTTTTTTATTTATTTTTTATGACGCTTGCAGCTTCAGTTTCAACATTAATATTTTCAATCACAAAATTTACATTCGCTGAGAAAAAAACAAACACCACACAATTCTAATAAGTCAAGTGTAAAAATTTGTTGAAAAACATATTTGCGTCTATGTTTCTGAGAATAAAAAATAAAAATTTTGTTTGCATTTTTAAAAAAAAAATTTATAAATTTTTTTTTTTGATGTAGTTGAAAAATTATACCCCGGTATCAATATTTGAAAATACTTTATCACAAAATGCATTTATCAATATCCATGACAGTAAATTTGTCTAGATAATTATTTTTTGTGAAACGAAAATGTGTGGAGAAGACGTGAGCAATTTCATACGTAATATTTGTTTTAAATTGAATTATTTTACAAAACGAAATATGTTTTCGCCTGTAGCAAAAAATAAATAGAAAAAAAAAACAGTCAGATTTATTTTGTGTACGTGTATTTCAGTCTGTCAAGTTATTTTATCTGTTATTAAGTTGAAAAATGTAAATCATTTACAAATTGTGCAAATTTTCATAATTTTAATATAATGAATTTTTTTATTGTAATGTAAAAAATAAAACTTTTTTATCAACTTATTTTTTGCTTGTAAAAAAATATTTTAATTTAACTGTCAGTCAGTTATATATGTGTTTTAAATATTTTTTTTATAAATATTTGAATTATTGTTGCTTTTTTTGTAAAATAAATTTTCAAATGCGGTTATATTATTGTTAGAAAAAACCTTCTTGGGGTTCTTGTACATAGTAAAAGCGTAACTATATTTGCGAGTAAACCGTCGTTTTTATCAGAAAGAGATTTTGTTTTTCATGGTCTCAAACTAAAGCTGAAAACAGACTTTGAACGTTTGTAGTTTCAGAAAGTGTATCTGGCAGTGGTTTATGCGGTTACCATTGCCGTATATAATACGCTTTGGAAATCAAAAATTTCCCCAATTATATATATTTGTTAATTTTCCACTATAAAATTAAAAACTTCTTTTCCATTTTATAGAAACTTTTATTCTCTAACTTTTTGTGGCTTTGCGGTCAATCAGAATAAAGTGCAATAAATCAAATATATCTCCTTATTTTTAAATTCATTGCCAATTCGTTTAAAATTCATTACTCATTTGTTGTTTTTTTTTTTTAAATTATTATTAATATGCCAGGCATTAAATTAATAATCACCGACCTCGAAAATCTTTAACCAATTCCCGTGTTGAAATTTGTTTCTAGTTTCTGTAACTAACTTAAGACTTTATTGTTTCTAGAAAGTTTTCTATTTTGTTTCTGTGGTCAAATTTAACTCTTCAATCAATAGGTTTCTAGACAGTAAAGTTAATAAAGTTTAAAAATATAATAATTAAAATAACATTTTTATTTTCTGAAATGTTTTTTTTTTTTTTTTTGATATGAAAGAACTAAAACCAAAAATTTAAGTACATTTTAAAAAATCAGAAATAACTTTGGATGATGCAAGATTAAGAAAGTTATTAAAAGAAAATCGATTTTTTATTGCCTAAATAGATAAACTATTAAAGAATATATTGATAAAATTATACGAAGGTCAATTTGAAGTATTTTTAAAAATATACTCGTGCGTGTTTCTTTCCCTCGATATTGTTTTTATAATAGCATGCATGGAAAATGTTCAAAAACATTTGAATTCGTAATAATGCTCTCTAAAGAATTAAAAAAAAAAAAAAATTGTAACAAAATCTAATTTATATCTTTTTTTTTTATTAAAAACTATTATTAACTAAAAAAAAAATGTTTTTACAAAAATGTGTTTGAAAAAATATTTTTTTTTTTTAATTTTTTCTTTTCAAACGAAAAATAAACTTTCTATTTTCCACATTTTTTGTTTAGTTTATATGAAAAAAAAGAGGGGAAAAAAAAAACAATTTAGTTTTTTCATTTCAGACAAAAAATTACAGGCTGCATATTATTCACGCAAATTGAAAACTACAATGGCGAGATTCACGAATCTGAAATATATAAAACCGTCTTATTGAAATATTTTTTATTAACATTATTTTTCCTATACCTTTCGTATATTTTATATAACTGAAAAAGAAAATTTAATTCAAATAATCGGTTACTTGACTATTACTAATATTATTCATTTGTATTAATAAATTTATTATTTAAATCAATTAAATCGTATTTGTTTCAAAGAGAAAACTTATTGATTAAAATACAATTTATATAATTTAAATAGAAATTATTTGGTTCAAGTAAATATTTTCAGTATAAATTTATACATTATTATTATTACTATTACTTTATTATTATATATTTATATAATTTTTATTATTATTATTATTATTATTATTATTATTATTATTATTATTATATTGTTGTTACTATTATTATTATATATTTATTATTAT